CATTCCCTGCTTGTCTTTAAATATACTGACTATTGAATATTGTTTTTTTCTATTCACTAGTGTCCTCATTTATTGACAATTTTCCTTTCTTTTATGCTGCATATTGTTTCTCAGAGTGTTATTAATTACGACAACTTTTAATCAAATCAGTACTCAATACATTTCGTCATTTTTTCTCTCTCTTTGTCTATATCCTTAATTGGTACATAAGATAAGCTGAAAAGTTTAATAAATATGATAAGTTATTTAACATCAATGTCTGAAAAAGGAAAAGTAGGTAACTCAGAATGATCCCTTAAAACTTATTTTGACTACATGATTTATATTTTATAAACCTTGTTATGTACATACCATTTGGCATTATTCATACTTCTGACCAATTGATTAACGGTCTTCAACGTAGAACATTTTACAGATGTACAGTAGTTTTGTGACGACAGAAGACAGGGGCCAGGCAACAGATGGTTTATTGAGAAAATCACAAGATATTTATAAATTTTTATGTACATTATTTTCAACGGAGAGGCAACGTCTTCTGATTAGTCGTTTTCTTGCTGAAGTTTATTCTGTACTGATTGTGACCGTTTCTCAGAAAGTTAAGCCATATATCTGTGAATCGTATTTACACATGTTAAGCCTTCTGTGATTGGTTGGTGATTTCCTCAGTGTTAGGCTTTGTTATTGTTTTTTCTTCTCATGACCCCGATTCGGGACGGAAACATTGAAGTAAATAGTTGTCTACAATTTTGTCATCAGAGTTATAGTTGTCACACTCTATGTAGCACACATATTCATATTTTGGCATATGTTACATAGTTGTGCTTATTTCTTGACATTGTGTATTTATTTATTAGGTGAACTCGGTAATAATTTCTTATGATTTTTTTCACGTTTACTATGAAACACATTATTCAACTGAGCAAAAGATTTCTGATAATTCTTACCGTTTGAATTAATTCCATGTAAAACAGTAAAAGAGTACAAGGTCTTGATCCAAATGCAACTAGATATTACACACTGTATTAGGAGCTGCAAATTGAGAAGATCAGAAACCCACAAGTTATTATTTCAAATTTTGATGTGAATCCCGTTTTCATTTCAGTTGCATTTAGAGTATGTTCAAAATAAATAAAATGAACGAAAACGACTCTATTTTTTGAAAAAGAAACACTGCCAAAAATGATTATTTAACAGCTTAACACTCACTGAAATGTTTGACTCAGTATGTACATGAAAGATGTGTATCTTCGCTAAGCCAGAAATATTCCTAGTAAAGAGGAAAGGTTGGGAATGAGGCTAACAACACCATCCTGTAAAATAAACAATGCTACAGAAACTTCAAGCCTCTTCCTTGAAGCCCTATGTTCCACTGGGCAACGTGAAGGAATTTTTATTTTATTATTATGTTGTATAATCTTTTTCACCTAGAATCGAAAATTACAGAAGAGAATCACAATAATAATAACAAATAGGAAGCTTTTAGTGATATATACAAACGATCAGGAGTTCATAATGAGGTTTACTGAATCGGTAACCACATGAAAAATTCAGTACCTTTGTTTGTCCAAAAACAATACGTTCGTACGCCTAACTGACTGAAGAGTACTTTATCTAGTTATTCAGCAAACAGTAGTGTCATAACTCAGTATTCTCCTTCCATCTTTAATTGTTTTATATACTTTATTTGACCTAATCTTCGTTAACTAACTTGAAGAAGCCCATTTACTGTTGTCAGACATTACTAATTAGAATCGATCGATAGCTATGCGTAGCATAACCAACAATGTTTGGGTATTTGAGAATATCTGAAATCTGCAAAGTAAGAGAGTTAAGCACTTCAGATTACAATTGCAAAGATTACTCGATATTTGAGTTATTTCCTTCTTAGAAGTTGCTTAAGCAAGCATTGTTTGTACACCTCTGAAGAGTCCCAGAGAAGGATGAAACAGCTGTCAAGTGCTACCCAATTTTTCCCTGGTCCTCTAACTGATTTCAGTTTATGATGAAATATACCTTTAACTCAAACAAATCTGTGGTGACTGACAATTTCTATCTCTGTATTGTTTAAATACTTACTGTTGATTGTTAATATGTTTCTTATATGAATTGTATTATAATTCCGCAAAATACAAATTCCTGAATTCCGCCCTCTCTGTGTTTTGGTTGGATTCTCGTAATTCAGTCATCTCGAAATACTAATACTACGATTACAAATAATTACAACAAATTGGCGTCGCGATGGAACTAAATAACCTTGGAAAATTTCCCATTAATGGGTCTCCGCGGGAGATTGCTGATTACCTTGAATGCTTTGATGCATGGTGCATTTCAAAGAACGTTCGGGATGACAAAATTCCAGCACATTTCATCACTGCTATTGGGCTAGATGCATATAGCCTAGTGAAGAATCTGGCGTTTCCAGATAAACCTATTTCTCTGTCATATGACAAGATTCGTGAACTTCTGATAAATCACTTTCATGTAACTACTTTTGAGACAAGAGAGAGGGCTCAATTCAATAAACTGGTTCGTGCTCCCAATCAGAAGATTAGAGACTTTATTCTTCAACTCCAAATACAAGCTTCAAAGTGTAACTTTGGAGATCAGCTGCATACTCAACTACGTGATCGTCTAATTGCTGGAATCAATATTCCTAAGTTAGAGAAAGAGTTAATTCAGATTCCTTCTTGTACCTTTCAAACTGCTAAAGATTTATGTATTACATATGAAGATGTCAACAGTGAATACTCTGCTCCCACTACGTCAGTATCTGATGTCATGTTGTCCAAAGTCGAAAATACAAGTGTTCATGGAAAGAAATCCAAACTGTCGTCCACAGGTAATAGAATGCAGCGAGAGATCAAAAACATTAAACCGTGTTTATCCTGTGGAAAGTTACATCTACGAAGCACTTGCCGTTTTCGGGGTGCTAAGTGTCATAAATGTGGTAAAGTTGGACACATCAAGACTGTTTGCAGAAGTTCGAATACTTATGTTACTCAGAATTCTTATAATTCTCCCAATCTGTCTAGTAAAATGGAGTCAATGTGTCTTTCAACTTTTCAAAATACTCAATCTCATCCAATGAAAACCTCCACTACAAGTTCAGCAACTCAAGCGTCAACTGTTTTCAAAAATGTGGTAGCCGAGTTACAATGCGAACTGTCGAAAACACGAGAAAAACTGAATGAGATGAGAGAGCAACTGATTAAAATGGAGGAATTTCTGCATATGCATAGACTGCGTCTGTTGAATGCAGAGCATACAAGTACCCATGAAAGTCCTGCAAAACTTTTCAAATCTCGAATTCTCAAAAAGCATCTGATGTCCACGACTTCTAATGTACATTATTACAAAGGGAATGACTATAGACCTTCTGTTGGAATCATACTACAAAAAATGGGAAATCGAGTGGTGAAGATATTAGACAAATCAAAGATCACTCAGTTCATAACAGACACCTGGACAAAGTGACAATAAATGAAGTAGGTCGTTCCAATTATAATATTAATGATTCCGCTACTAATCCTGATTTTGTAGATAATTCAGAAATAAGTCCAGATAATACTGATGAAAATAATATCACAGAATCAGTTAGAAGGTCGCAGCTACTTGCAAGCAAACCGAGACATCGTTATAAATACGCAAGGAGATATTCGACGTGTGGCGGATGTGGTGATTGACAATTTCTATCTCTGTATTGTTTAAATACTTACTGTTGATTGTTAATATGTTTCTTATATGAATTGCATTATAATTCCGCTAAATACAAATTCCTGAATTCCGCCCTCTCTGTGTTTTGGTTGGATTCTCGTAATTCAGTCATCTCGAAATACCAATACTACGATTACAAATAATTACAGCGAAATCCCTACAACCCAACACTTGAAAACTTCAACTTAATTAAAAATATATATACGGCTTCGAAAATCGATGAATTTGCAAAGTAACAGCTCAAATCACAATAAATTACATTAGACTTTTTATCCTGTTGTAATTGCTGTGATCTTTGGTTATGTGATCTTATAGATGATGCGTTCAGAAGTTATTTTCGGTCAGCTGATTGGAAACCAGTATGCACTTATTATATTTATATTTGATTACAGCTTGATTGATTGCACACCGTATATTTGGTACAGGTATGGAATTTTCATCATGTGATATCGGTAGCCCGAATTTCGCAGGCCGACCATAGATATCAGGTGTGCGTCGGCAGGGGATCGAACTCCGGATCATGTGCAGGATCGGCGAAAGTTCTAACCGATGTGCCACCGACGCCCAACTATTGAAATCTTCACTGTTTTAATATGACTCATAAAAGACACGTAAGCTTACTTAAAATACTGATGCATCAGAATTGTTCTTAGCCTAACATCATGGTTTTATCTAAATCTCCAGTATCCTTTGTGTTGATGTCAACGAATACAGTCTTGTATACACAGGGTTTTTGACTCCATTCTGAGACCACATATGTTCATACTGAACCCTATGTAATGTCATCATAGATTCCAAACTCAATAAATAATGTACACTGACAAATACCATCAATATTACTGTAATAAGAATGACATTTGCCATGTCACATATAGTTGTTCAATAGATTTGTATAGATAGCATACCCATTTAACGAGTTTTAATAACTTCGTATTCTGCGTAATACAAAATCGTATGTTGTTGAACAGCCTATTGATTTATTGAAATTTGTTTTCCCAATCTATAAGAGCACTTTAAATGTCAGTGGTTGAATTTACAGTGACTAAAGTGCAGAGTGCAGAAATAAGTTTGACTGATTATCGATTAGTCATAAGATGATTCGAAGCTGATAAATTAATCTGTTTTTGCATTTAATTTCACTTATTTGACCTTGTCGAGTTAAATCTCGTCAAGAAAAAAATATTACCCAACTTTCTTTAAATAAACTGATTCTAAGTGAACTGTACTCACCTAAAAATTATTTAAATAGTGATCAGTTCAGTATAACATTTTACAAAATCATTATTATGAAACAGTTCTTACATGTCAGACGAAATCTACTGACTGTCATTATTTTGCTAATATGCTTACTAATAACATATGTAGAGTGTCTTATCCCAAAGGCATGTGTTCAAAATATTACAGCACTTGGTGGAAGTGGTATCTGCTGTCCAACACGTAAAGGTTCAAAACATCCATGTGGTGGTCCTGGAATTGGAACGTGTCAAAAAGAATACATCCAAATACAATCTATACCATCTTTTCTTATTTTGGATGATAGAATGAATTGGCCATCAAGATTTTTTAACCAGCTATGTAAATGTGAGGGGAATTACTTTGGCATTGCTTGTGATGAATGTTGGTATGGTTGGGATGGACCGAAATGCGATAAGCGCAAAACGTATGTTCGACGGAATATATTATCATTAAATCCAACAGAAAGGAAAATGTTCGTTAATGTTGTATCAGGGATGCTTACAGCTACAACTGATTATTATATTCTATTTGAAAAGGATGCCATACATTCAGATCCATTATGGAAACCTAAATTCTTGGATGTTAACCTTCAGTATCTAGTATCCTTCCTACATAGATATGCCAGTAGAGCTACACTATTCAAGGATAACCTTGAGTGCATAGAACGTGAACACATAGATAATAATCATAATACCGTTGGCTTTATTACTTGGCACAGATATTTTATGATGTTCTGGGAAAAAGAACTACGTAAAATAGCGATTCGATTATATGGCTGGACAGATTTCACCTTACCATACTGGGATTGGTTTGATGCTAAATCTTGTGAAGTTTGTGTGAATAATTTATTGGGTGCTTATGGTGAGTGGGTTGGATCTGACCGAATGATAGATACTGCTAGCCCATTTTATAACTGGCCTGAATACTGTACCCCACCAGTTCATGGAAGTTTATGTTACAGTTGTCATGCCGGTTGGCCGAATTTTAAAAGACTTACTAGATACTATGATGCAACAAACTTTCCAACAACTTATGATCTTTTATTCGCCCTTACAAAGAAAAAGTAAGTGTTGTTTGTATTTTTGCTAAAATTAAAGATGACAATATTAACTATAGGATTTCTTAATGTTCATATATTTATACTATTAGTTAACAACCGTTAGTAGTAAATACCTCCCCTCTATCTTAAAAAAACATGTTCGAGTTGGAGAGTAAATATACAGAATTTCAAGTTTCCAGCCCAAAACCAACTGCCTTTAGGTTGTCATCAAAACGATGCTACTCTAAAAATACATTATGTTTTTATTAAATGTTTATCAACGGTGAAATCAACAAGTGGAGCATAGAATTATCACATATGTCTTTTATTATTTAATCCTATTTGATTTTGATTTCGATTATAGCTTGAAACCACACCGTATTTTTGGTACAAGTATGAAATTTTCATCATGTGATATCGGTAGCCCAAATTTCGCAGGCCGACCATAGATATCAGGTGTGCGTCGGCAGGGGATCGAACCCCGGATCATGTTCATGATCGGCGAGAGTTCTAACCACTGTGCCGTCATAGAAAGCTTATGGTCATTGTCATGTGCATTCTTTCCACTTATTCTAATATAGACTTTTATCTTATACATAAATGTTTGGTTTTGATTACATCGCTAGTGTTACAGAAAAAAATATATTCAATACCTATTATGATTAAAAGCATTTTGAAGGCCTTAGTCTTAACAAGATTAAGACCTACAAACCTTGGATTGGTAAGCTACGAAATCTAGATGCAAACAACCTCCTAGTTGCACTTTAATTACCAGGGTGTTTGATTGAATGTTAAACATAAGCAACACATTGGTTTGATGATATTAGGTAGTTGGAGGTGATCGGCCACAGGAAGCCTTGGACTTACGTCTCGTGCTAGTTGTCACTCACCAGTTAGCAAGGCATATCTGCAGCCTTGAAAGATCTCATGTCCCTTCTGAGATTCGAACCCGCGTTATCCAGTGCTGCAGTCAGAGACGTTGCCAATGAGCTATTCGGGCTCACTGGCGACTGACTTCCTGTAGAACTGTAGTGGGTATTTTGACTGGACACTAGTAACTAGTGTGACGTATCTAAGATAAGATAATAACTTTATTCCAAAACAGTATTTGTGATACAGAATGGAATTCTCAGCATTTTACTACAATATTGCATCCAGTTAGTACATTAACAATAAATAAAGTTCTACATAGATTAAGGTTACCTCAGTTAGTTTTGACAACAACATATTAGCATGTCGGTAGCAAAGCCAAAATTAAACAGTGTTAGAAGGTGTTAGAAAAGTAGATGGTAGCATATTTACTGGCGTCATCGGTAACAAAATGGACGAGATATACAGAGTGTGAAAGAACGAACAAGAATGTTTTAAGTAGAGTTTGTAAGGAAGAGAGAAACAAAACAGCACATAACAAAAATAAAGACAAAAAAAGGTAGAGAGAAAGGAAAAGAGAGAAGACGTTGTACCTATAAATGATGTGAGTTGGGAAGACGAGATCCAATTGTTCTACTGTCTAGTTCTGTCTTTGGTGCAGACTAAATTCTATCAGTTAGGTTTACAATCTGGCCACCATTCTAGGTAGGTCGCCATCACGGTGTATCAATCGCCAGTGACCTCAAATAGGTCAGTGGTAACGTCTCTGACTACAGGCGGCACTGGGTGACGCGGGTTCGAATTTCAGAAGAGACATGAGTTCATTCAAGATTGAAGACACACCTTATTGATTGATGAGTGATAACTACGACGAAACATAGGTCCAAGTAGGGCTTCCTGCCGATTGCCTCCAACTATCTGATTTCATCAAATCAATGTTCACACTGATGGCGAGCTACCTAGAACGGTGGTCACATTGCAAACCTGACTGATAGAATTCAGTCTGCACCAAAGAAAGGACTGGACACATCACACTAGTTACTAGTGTCCAATCAAAATAAGCAACACATTTTGATTATCTTAGCATACATTCTTATAATTCCATAGACAAAAGACTGTGGTCTTAAGTTTGTTATTAATTATCAGTAAAACATATTTACAACCAGGAGAAGGTTCATTTTCACTGGTACATTGAAATCATAGTCAGTGCTTAATAAACCTTCAAACTTTACTGTTCATCTGTGTTTCAAATGATAGTATAGTATTAAATGGAGAGTAGGTCGATAGTGAAAAATTAAACTTCCATTTCTCCTGTTTTTATTAAATCCCCATGGTATACGTGGATTTCTGACATTGGTACTTTGAATGTGGACATTAATTTATTTTTCAAACATATTTTAGAATTATCTCTTAGTATGTAGTTTCGAGAGATATATTACTCTTGTTCAAGCTATTTCTAAAGTCTTAAGTTTTACACCTCATAACTGTAAGATAAATGCTGTGAAATGGCTTCTAGGATTAGCATTAACACTAATAAGTAATCTTGGATGAAAGAGCTGCACAGCTCTACAGATATAATGGCAATAACATTCACCGTAAAGTGTCCTTTAGAAAAATTTAATTTTAAATTTTGAAGAATTGGTTTTTAGGGATTGTATTTAATAATAATAATTTATTTTATTCCAAAAATTGTACTTGTGATACAAAATCGAATTTTCAGCATTAATCACAATATTGCATCTAATTTCCTCAAATTATAAATAAAAATAATCACACAGAAAATTTTCCATATTTACAATAGAGGTAGTGTCAAAAACACGTAGCATATAAAATGGAAATAATAATAATGATAGCAGCTAAGGTAATAATAATAATACAAGTGAAAATTACCGTGGGCTTGTTTCACACAGTATTGTCGATTCGGTATAGAAATCCTAGCATGTTTAAAAATATTGAATATTATGTTCTCTTTACATGATATGGTGAGGGGAAATACAAAAATTACAGCAGTCATAGAGATAAGTTGGTGTTTGCAATTATGAGAGTAAAACAAAGAGGCAACAGGTTAGACCACGGATTGATATCTGATGCTCGCTAGTGACTGGCTACTGGACGAAAATGCCTGCGGTTCTAATGGGAAGTCGTGACCAGTGAGGTCCATCCAGTCGGGAGTGAACATGGAGTTCCCACAGATGACATTGGTTGGTGGTCACGCTATTCTCATCACGAATTGGTAGAAGTTAGAATTCATCTACCAACCATTGAGGAATCGGGTCCCAGTGGCTGAATGGTATACCAGCTCGCCTTGTAACCGGAAGGTCTTGGGTTCGAACCCTGGTGGTGGATAAATACTGCCAAGGAATCCCAAACTAGGATGAGACAGCTATCTGGCGGTACTGTCTGGTTTTCAATGGTTCTCTAACTAATATCAATCCGTTGTCTTAACTGAAACAAATAATCAGTTGTCGGTGGCCCAGCGATAGAATGCTGGCCAACCACCCACGTGGTTCGGGGTTCGATCCCCGGCTGACGAACTCCTCTACCTCGCTAAGCCAGTAATAGAGCTGGTAAAGAGGGAAGGTTGAGCATGAGGCTAGCGACCCCATTCCGTAAAAACAAAACACCACCGCTACCGAAACTTCAAGTCATTAACTTGAAGCCCTATGTTCCGCTCGGAACTTGAGGGAATAAAAAAATAATAATAACGCTTGGTTATCTAAAGTAAAAAGGAATTTTACTCATCTTGTGTAAACATCAGTCACTAAAAAATCAAAAAACACAAGACACTTGTTTCATTCTAGTTTGTTTCTCTACACGCCTACACAATTTTGATAATATGTTCAATAATATTAGCAAAAGTATGCTAAGTGTAAATACTCATACAGACATTATTTTTTTTAAATTCACCTTTGTATTCAAATATGGCCGCCTTACAGTAATCACTTGGTCATTTGTAAGGAAACAAAAACACGTAGAATCTTGACAAGCACACAAACTCCTAACTGACGTCAAAAGATGTAAGATGAGTAGTAAATTTAGGTACAGAAGATTTTTTTATTTCACTCACGATAAATAAAAAATTTAAACTTGGATGATCATGTGACTTAGACATATTCAGTGAGACTTTTAGTCTAATGAGTCATTATTAAAATTCCATTAAGTTCCAGACTGATACAATGAAGTATCCATCTTTATGGTGTTGTCTTGTCAAGTTTCTATTTTAAATTATTAAAAATCTATGTAACTAGACATTTTGGTCCCAAAAAAGGTGATTGGTTATTTTTTTTGTAAATTGTTTGTACTCGGGAATTTCTGGTTGATGTTGGTGTTGTTGCTGTTGTCATTGTATCGGGCCACTTGCTCAGATGCTGGTACTTTTAGCCAACAATAAACATCAGATACAATAAAACTGAGTCTGTGTATATGAATTCAACCAGTAAACAACATCAAACAGATGACATTATTATCATTGTTTCCTTTGATTCCTAGAGGAACATAGGGCTTCAGCCGAATGTCTCCCTTGCGTTCGGTTTCCACCTGGCTCCAAGTCTGCCCGCATGCTTTCATCTCCTCTTCACCTGAACTCCTCCAAGTCACCTTCGGACGACCAACTCGCCGCCTCCCATTCGGATTCCACTTGAGGGTTTGTCTGGTGATGTCACTTGATGGTTTGTTTTCTCAGAGTATGGCCAATCCATCTAACTTCATTTCTTCCTGCTTATTTGTCGCACAATCGGGTCCTGCAAGGTTGGTTCGTTCATAGCCAGAGATCCATCCATGTTGATGTTCTTTTCTGGCCGGCCATCTGACCTTGAGCGGAGTATTGAGCGAAGACAGATGTTGATGAAGGTCTGTAGTTTGTTTGAGGTGCTATTCATGACACGCCAAGTCTATGATCTGTACAGTGAGTAGCACTAACTTCACATTGGAGTTGAAAATCCGGATCTTATTTTTGATGCTGAGTGCTGCTGATCTCCACAAAGACTTAAGAATAATGAAAGCTTGTCTTGCTTTCCTGATCCTCGCTGCTTTGATATCGTCATCAGTTCCGTCCGTCTGTAGTTGAAACGATGCTTCCCAGGTAGGTGGGTAGGTAAAGGAGGTTGTTTCTTTAAGGTTCCTTCCATTTATGTTGATTGTTGTCTGTCGTTGCTGCTGTTGCTGTGGCTATTGCCCAGGAATCTTAATCACCTACCTCTGTTTTCTCTATGTTCACCTGAAGGCCTATCTTCTGTTGGTGCTTCTTCAGCTAACTGGTTGGTTTTCACGTCCATATCTTCCAGTTTGCTGGAAATCAGATATGTGTCATCATCGGCGAAGTCCAGATCCTCCAAGTTTTCTTGTGTGGGTCCATTTTATGCCACACAGATAACATAAAACAAATTAATTCAATTAAAACAAGAAGTGATACATTTTAAAAAAAAACTAATTCGTTGTATATTGAAGTCTTCAAACAGAAGTAAATCATTCAAAATAAATTAATGCGAAATTCTATAAGCACAAATATTATTTATTATTCCCCTTATTCTTTCCTGGTCTACTTGAGAAGGACACCGCTATCAGCTGTCAGTAGGGCAAGTAGGTTTGCGCATCTTGTTGGACTTTGAGCACCCTCTTTATTAAACAACATCCAGTCAAGTAGTAGGACTAAAAGGAATTATAAAAGACTTTATAATCAAACGAATAAATATTTTTTAAAAAACTCAATGACGCCTTATCTGATGATCGTTTTATGTAATGAGAAAACTGTAAGGCATGAAACTACTAATTAGTGTATACTACTGATAATATTTATCAGTACTATATAAATTAATCCTTAGAAATTATGAGTATTTTACCATAGTCCTTTGAAGTTACCATTGAATAAAACAGAAATTAAAGAGTTAAGTGTTGATATCTGGTTACATTTGAAGGTTAAAATTATAATAAAGTTGCATGAACAGCTTTCTATCAGGAATTAGCTAATGGTCTTCGTGTAGCGACCTTAAACTAAATCCTTCCAAATGCCAGACTGTTAATTTCAGTTTCCGATGTAAACGAAAGTTAAATGAAGCCGTTGGTTCCTATGACCCTTGCAAAATTGTTGATACTGATATAGAAATCAAGTCTGAAGTTAAGTATCTTGGATTAATTCTTTACTCTGACCTATCCTGGTCTTCCCATGTCTTAGCGATTACTAAAAGAATACTTCATCTGACTTTTTACATTAAGAAGCTGAGGCACTCACGCAAAACCCAGCCACTCCTCTTACACTTTATCAACTCGTGTATTTTACCTATTCTTCTTTACTGTTCACCCCTGCTTATTCTTTCCTGGACTACTTAAAAAAGACTATATCATACTTCGTAGAACTCTGAAGACTATCAGTAGGACGAGTGGTATCCCATTGGGCCATATCGTTGACATTGTCACTGATAGGCACTTGATGTCATGTAACAAATTCGTTAAGGGAATTTTGTCAAACTCTGAGCACCCACTCTACCCGCAGCTCTAACCTTGTGCCTCGTCCCCAGGTAAAACAAGCAGTCTTTTCAGAAAACTTTATGCACGTACGTCTAAGTATAAAAATTCCACTATACGATATTTAGCACATACTATATGTGATGAAAATAGTGTCAGGCATGAACTAACTAACCTTCTTTGCACTACTAAATAAACCATTTCTTCCACGCCTACAGTACCAAACTTCATTGTTATTGTGTTTCTTATATTTATAGACCTCTCAATTTTTTGTTTTTATTTATTTATTTTCCATAAGTGTGAACATCGTTTAAGCTGTGTTACCACTGTTAATCTTGTATTTCCCCTCACTATAGTATATCAAGAGAACATTAGATTCAATGCTCTAAAGTAACATGTCAAACTGAATCGACAATACTGTTTGAAACAAACTCACTGTTACTATTATTTTATTATTATTGTTATTATCGTAAACATTATTATTATTATTATTGTCATTAATATTTAATGATCTCAATTCGTGCTTCGAATATTTTTGACTTTATATCGTAAACGTGGACAAATTCCTCTGGTTAATTTTGTTTTAATTTTTAATTTTATTTATATTTTAAGTAAATCAGATGCGAGATACTGTGACAAATGCTGAGAATTCCATTCTGTATTATAAGTACTGTCATTGGAATACAGCAGATTATTATTATTAAACATTTCTATTTTATTTTTTAATTAAAAAAAAACTTATGAAGACATGAAATACGAAAAACCGGTCTCTAGACCAGTGCATAAATCTTAATCATTCCAAAAACAAAAAACACTTTTAATAAGCGCTATTCATCCCAACTATAATTTCAGATATCTACAATAAATTGACAAGTTTTATCAGAAACTTTAACCTTTATTGCTTACTGTCAAAGACTTTCATAAAGACTGAAGAAGTAGAAGTTCTAATTCTAGGTTTGTCCGTCACTTAGCCCTTAACATAGCCCTAGATCATATGCAACCGTTTATACCGCAAACTTCACTCAAAACTTAGGTTTTTAAAAATTTATACTCTTCATAATTTAGTTATTGAATTTATGACAGAACTTGATAAAAATTATTTAGACAAAATTCTTGTTAGCATTTACAAAAAATGATCAAAAAAATTATCACAACTGAAGCAAACCACCTACGGAATGCCCTTGTATAACCAATCAGAAAAGCCTCATAATAACAATAGATGACTTGTTAGAAACGTACATTTAAAGTGAATAAATGCATTAAAATAAAATTTAATCGTCCTAACCCTATTGCTAATTCTAATTTCAATACTAAACCCTGATATTTCCTCTAACATTAGACCTAACCCTAACTAAACTTCAATATTAGCCTAATCCTTAAAAAAATTCTAAACTTAACTTTAGATGAAATGAATCAGAATGGAATCACAGATTGGTTCATGAAAACAGTGAATAGAATAGCTACCGAGAGAGGAACGATCTAATTGACTGAATAAGGCCATTTGGTAGGTCATTCACTTGGGTTATGATACTCTATGCTTGTCCAACTAACGGTAATTTTATGAAATTCTTTTCATCCTCGAAACAAAATATTCACAATAAAGGTATTAATGATAGGTTTCACTGAAACCTTGAATAAAGGTTTCCACATGCATTCAAAAATGTTTATAGAGTACTTATTCATAATTTGATAAGAAAATCTTAGAATACTTGTGGAATATACTTTTGTCATATGAAAAAGAGAAGACGTTCAGCGAAGAGACTCTTTTCGGCGAATTCATTCACATAGCTGTACAATCGCATTTATATATAATTATTTGTGTGTGTGTGTGTGTACATGAGGTTTGTCAAAATTAGATAATTGATCAGGTAATAAAAGAATGATCTAATAAAGAAACAAGGTTAATTGGACAGCGACTAAAGTAAGATTGAGTTAATAAGTTAGATGACGTAATATAATTGACTAAAATGTTTTAACTTAACTTTTGAATTGGATTGTCTGAAACAGTTTTGGCTGACGAATTGATTATATAAAGTGTTGGTTTGCGGAGATTTGACTGGTTACAGGATTTCATCATAAGCGGAAATCGTCTAGAGAACGACTAGAGAATCTGGGAGTACGAGACAGCTGTTTCGTCCTAGTTTTGGGACTTTCGAGAAGTAAGAGCCCACTGGGGCTCAAAGCCAGGACCTTCCAGTTAAATGGTGAGCATGTAAACCATTTATGTTCAACTGAAAGCGTTCTCCAAGCGGGCATTATTCAAAAAATGTCCATTTCATATATATATATATATATATATATATATATATATATATATATATATTGAGATGTTGATATTCCCTATCATTTCAACAGTGATTGATGTATGTAATAGTGATTAATTTAACTGAAAGAGAAACTTTGACTGGTTTAAGATTTGAACCGTTTACCTTCTGATTTACATTATTATTATTATTGTATCCTTTAGTTCCTAGAGGAACATAGGGCTTCAGCTGCGCACCTCCATTGCCTTCGGTTTTCTGACAACTTTTTCACCCTGCTCCAGGTCTGTCCACATGCTTTCATCTCCTCCTCGCATGACCTCCTCCAAGTCACCCTCACACTGACGACCAACTCGCCGCCTCCCTTTCGGGTTCCACTCGAGGGCTTGTCTAGTGATGTCACTTGATGGTTTCCTCAGCGTATGGCCAATCCATCTCCATTTCTTCCTGCCTATTTGTTTCACAATCGGTTCCTGATTGGTTCGCTCACTGCCAGAGATCCCTGTTGCTGATCTTTTCTGGCTGGCCATCTGATCTTGAGCGGAGTACTGGGTGAAGACAGCTGTTAATGAAGGTCTGAAGTTTGTTTGAGATGCTCTTTATGACTCGCCAAGTCTCTGATCCGTATAGTAGCACTGACTTTACATTGGAGTTGAAAATCCGGATCTTATTTTTGATGCTGAGTGCTGTTGACTTCCACACAGACTTGACGTGAGTAATGAAAGCTTGTCTTGCTTTACCGATTCTTGTTTTCATATCCTCGTCAGTTCTATATGCCTGTAGTTGAAACGATTCTTCCCAGGTAGGTAGGTAGAGGAGGTTGTTTCTTTCAGGTTCCTCCCATCTATCCGGGCTGATTGTTGTCTGTTGTTGTTGTTACCGTTGGTGTTGGCCAGGAATCTTCATCACCTCTGTTTTATCTATGTTCACGTGAAGTCCTATCTTTGATGCTTCTTCTGCCAACTTGTTGCTTTTCACTTGCATATCTTCCAGTTTGTGGGAGATCAGACATATATCATCGGCGAAATCCAGATCTTTCAAGTCTGATTTACATAACAGTGATTAAGTTAGTTCAGACATACGTATAAATATAATCACATTAATATTTCACTGTGTGCAGTTAATCTTTGGTGAACAATACAAAATAAATAAGCAAACTTTACATTTCCTTCTTTTCATACACAGCTTTTATTTACCTCAAGTGGAAGAAGATTTTGGAAAATGTCGAGGTTTTCATGAGGTTCTTGAAGGATCATGTTCAGCTACTGGTTATAATTATACATATTCATATATGCATAACAGAGTACATAACATGGTTCGTGGTACATTCTGTTGTTCAGCGACAGCCGCCAATGATCCTCTCTTTTTGGTGCATCATACACAGATAGATCGAATTTTCGCTGTAAGTTTTTTTTGTCTATAAGAAGGTTGTATAATTTCATAATTATTAGAGTTTCATTTGTTAAAATGCAGTTAGCTATTACACTAAATTAAACAGCGGGAATTTAAAAATCTTTTGGAATCATATTATTCTTGTGAATCAAAAATCTGTGGTAGATAGATATCTCCTGTCACCGCTGATAGTTTGAAATTAGACTTGTATATTCTAAGAAATATGAGATACCTCTGAGTCAATGCAGAAATGAAATATTAGGCACAAATTTTGTTTATTCTAACAATTTCTTACAGAATTTATCCTAACTAAACAAAAATACTATTGCGAAAGTGTTGATTTATTTATATGTCTTGTGCTCACTACTACTTAAATTGCATACAGCTATATATACTAATTCCTGAAAGTCTCGATTGAAAATACACTAGGTTAATGAGGCTTTTTGTCGAGCTGGTTAATACTTTTATCTTTTAATTTAGTGTCACCAAAATCAATTTAATATTTCCAAGACTTGATTTGTTTCAAGTTCGACCAAAGATGTCTAGTACTCCCTGGTTTTCAATGACTCTCTAACTGATATTAATCCTTGATCAAACTTGAAACAAATTAGATCCCGACAATCCACCTCCTGGAAACTAATCTGATGCTCACTAGTGACTGGCCACAGAATGAAGTTGATTGGAGATTTAGTGACAAGTCGTGACCAGTGGGGTCCATCCCGTCAGGAGTGAGAATAAATACTCCGCAGCGATGAGACTGGTTGGTGCTAGCAGCTCTAAAATCAAGAATCTGTAGACGTTAGAAGTCATGGGCTGATCACAGAGTCGGGCCCCAGTGGCTGAATGGTCTACGAGCTTGCCTTGTAATTGGAACGTCTTGGGCTCAAACTCCAGCGGGTGGGTACTCCATATGAACCCTAAACTAGAACGAAACAGCAGTCCAATAGACCCTGGTTTTCACTGGTTCCCCAGTTGATATTAATCAGTGGTCAAATTTGAAACAACTTAATATTGTTTTATTATTCAATGAGACATAATTTGTTTTTTTCTAAACGATGCGTTAAGATATAACTATATTTTAATATGATTGAAAGTATTTGTAGCTTAGGTGTTCTCTGAGCTGAGTAGTTTATTTACATAGCTTTCATTCCCAGCCTAGATAACATCTTCAGTCCTAACTCCAACTTGATATGAGCCTTTGAAATTCTCCATAAATCATATAATCTTCCCTTGTGATGAACATAACTGTTGTCAGTTGTCTTCAGGTATTTCCTTATCACTGTGCTCACTTGTATGAGAGTATTCCTTGTTTTCTTATCGTAGTATTTTACCAGGCTTCTAGGATTTCTCTAGAATGGTACTGGCAACAATCTGCATTTAAAAGACGTGTTGACATACATTTAATTTACCAACCAATAATAAAACATATCTGTAGCATAAAGGACAATTACCGGGTCTATGAAAAGACCATACAATACAATACAGGTGAACAGACGGATAAGAAAACGTCTGAAAGTATATAGTCACGGTCAAGATTATCGGGAAAGAGACACTTGTATTGATATAAGAATAAAACTTGTACACTGTAGTAGAGTGTAATTCCATTATGGGTAAATTTTGTTTTGATAAAGTCTCAGTGTTATACAGTAGTGTTTACTGATGACGTTTCGAGCACAATTTATTGCTCATAATCATATCAAGGTACTCACACGACTTCTTAACTTCATCTATATAGTTCTATTATTTTTCACTTGATTCGATTGGTAGTAGTATTTTCAATATTTCGGGTATAGGACGAAGCTACCCATTGAAGAAATTATTTTAGGAACTCACTTATGCCTCACGTCTACTATCTTTAAATTCCAAGGCAAAATACATAGGCAGACTGAAGGTGTAGCAATGGGATCACCAATATCCCCTATAGTAGCAGATATATTTATGGACAGCTCGGAAAATATGGCTCTCAATATGTTTAATCCCACTCCAAAAATATGGTGGAGATATGTGGATGACACTTTCACAGTGTTAAAAACAGAACATATCTCTAGCTTCTTGACACACATAAACTCACTAGGGGAGGGAATAAAATTCACGTTTGAATGGGAAAATGAACAAGGAGAATTAGCTATGTTAGATCGTAAAATAAAACGAATAGAAAAAGGTAAACTGCACACTAGTGCGTGCAAAAAACCAACTCATTCTAATAGATATTTAGACTTTAATGCGTCTCATCTATTGACTGTTAAGGCTTAGTTAAATGTTTAACAAACCGAGCAGTAGCACTAAGTAGCACAAAAAAGACCTAAATGATGAAATAAAACATATAGAAGAGGCTTTGGTGTTAAATAACTATCCTTTAAAATTCATTAGGAAGATCGATAAGGGCCAAAAGCAAAATAAAAATAATTGTGAAACTAGAAATAATAACATAAATAAGAAAGAATATAAGTCATCTACAGTTATACCATATAAGGAGGGGACATCTGAGACACTACGTAGGATTCTAAATAAAGCAAGAATTAGGGTGGCATTTAATCCTTCGAACTCACTCAGGGACAAGCTCTGTAGGTTAAAGGACCCAGTTGACCCAATTAGACAAAATAATATAATTTACAAAATACACAATAGGATGGGAGAGGGTTAAAATTCTAAAAAGTAATCTAGGTAGGTGGAGGGAGAGGTTGATTACTGAATCCTTGTTCATCGAGTCTACACCAAACACATGCAATAGGAATGATTCATCACTCATACCTGAAATACAGAAAATATTACCACCAATCAAATCAAGTGAAAAATAATAGAACTATATAAATGAAGTTAGGAAGTCGTGTGAGTACCTTGATATGATTATGAGCAGTAATAAATTGTGCTCGAAATGTCATCAGTAAACATTTCTGTATAACACTGTGAGACTTTATCAAAAAAAAATTTACCCATAATGAAAGACACTTGTATTGTTCATGTAAAATTCCGAAAGCTCACTTCAGATTAAGGTTAGTGCTGAAGATGATGTCTAAGTGGACGACGAAAGTTTTGTGATCGAATCATGCAGTTCAGAGATAACACATTGACATCAAAGGATACATATGTTTTGACTATATTCATATTAATCATTTCTCCTTCATACTGACTGTAATTTCAGTTCAATTTATTTGTAAGTAAATCATTCTAAGATACATTATCATTTTCTCACAAGCGTCAATGATAATAAAGTGAAGAAGTTAAATACTCTTATACGAGGTGATTCATTTTGTAATATTATAATACTTCCATATTTTCAAGTTCTACGATGTGCTATATCTGTACACGGTCAAAGATGAACGAAGTTATATTAAGAAGCACAAGTGAAAACTTGAAAAGATATATTGTTAAGGTAATCAAATTTCGAAAAGCTCGAAAAGAACAAAACAGTATGTAACCGCGTCGGTGGCACAGTGGTTAGGACTCTCGCTGACCATGCACATGGTCCGAGGTTCTATCCCCTGCCGATGCACACTTGATATCTATGGTCGGCCTGCATAATTTGGGCTATCGATATCACATGCTGAGAACTTCATACTTGTACCAAAAGTACAGTGTGGAATCAAGTTCTAAATCAATATATATATATATATATATATATATATATATATATATATATATATATATATATATATATAAACGAAAAGCTATGTTCAATTATACAGTGGCAAATATTTCACAAGCATCTGTGAAATTAGTTTCTGTAAGCGTAGAACATGCATACATGAATTAGAATAGTGCATTTAGAAGACAAATTTGGCGAGATCATATCGTCATTTCGTAGTTTCTTTACAACGCTTTACAACTAACATGGTTAACAAGAATAAAATGAAATAAATGCGCATGACAATTACTCAGTTATATTAAACAAAAGTACATACTAATGACCAATCATATTGAAATAGGTCATGTAGCCAATTCATAGTGGGCGAAGGCTGAATTCTCTATTGTTTTTTTGTACACATAGTTTAGGATTTATGTGATTAATCTCCAAAAGTGCTTCCATCACCTTCAATAACCTTGAATTAGAGTTATGTGAAATAATTTGTGAAACAGTCATTAGTATTGATTTTGTGATCTGACATTAATAAGCGCTTTCCAATAGATGAAGATGATGGATTTCTATTCAGATTAATTGCATTGGGATTTCCTAAGTGTTTTAATAACCATTTTGGAACATGTTCTTTTCAACTACATTGGAACCTTCTATTGGTTTTACCTATATAGGTGTCACCGCAACTGTAGGTGAACTTGTAGATACAGTTTGAAGTAGATTTCACAGAATTTCGTCCTTTAATCGTAGGTACAAGGATCAGAAATGTTCGGTGTGTGAGAGAAAGAGATGCGGCGTAGAATGTGAGTTTGATGACTGACCGAATGAGTTTAGTAAGCATACAATTAGGTTTAATATAGGGGCACCACATAATTCCCCACCAGAACACTGAAATATGAAACAATAAGTTTAAGTGTTCGAAAATATCATCTGTTCACGTTATGCACAGTGGTGGTGTGATACAGAAAATGTGTATGAGTCAAGATGGAAAATATGAGATTTAAACCATAGAGTTGTGAAAAATAGATGAACAACTAATAATACAAGTTAATAAATACAGTAAGAACAATAGAACTGATAATTATGATAGAAAATATGTGGAGTGATGAGCTTCTCAAACGGCTCGATTGTGTGCGTGTTGTTAATTTGCTAACTGGCACTGTAAGGAGTCGACTTTATATTCTAAAGTCTGCATGCAGTCCTGAGTGTCCAGTATTTGGTTGGTGGAAGTGACGGTTTAAGGTGTTGACCTCTCATATATGCGATCAGAGATTTCACTGAGAACATGTATATCAATGTCGCCATCTTCAAAGACAATGACTTAATGAACGCTAGCAGGTGGTCGTCGTAGCTAGATTTCATCAATGTGTCGTTTATAAATTTTCTTACCTGCCACGCTGCTTTGAAAGTATCTCATGAGTTGGGATGGCGTTTTTTCGCCTAACTCATCATTATATAGCAAGTAGCCTAGTATTTGACTATCGGAGAGTGATGTGCATCGTAGTACCTCTTCTTTCAATTTTCCGTAGGAGGAAACAATACTCGAATGAAAGATGCATCCACATACTTTTCTGTCGATTTCATTCAGTAGTACAGTAGTCAAAATGCCAAAATGAGTGTTCTGTGAAGACAGCTTGCTGGCAGTGAAATAATGTTCTAGTCGAGCAAACCAAAGATGAGGGTCTCTGCGTTTGAAAACTGATACAGTAAGAATAATAGTACTAACGGACCCCAACTCACAATCATCCAAGTCAGTGGAAGACCTATTACAACTCATGAAAAATTGGTTTCAGAATAACAAGATAGCGAAATTTTACAAAGTGGATATATAAAAAAACAGAACGAAAATTGATGATGATGTTTGCCAAGAGAAAAATGCAGGTTACACGTTGAGAAGACACAACAAAATGAGTTCAAAATATGTAATATATTTAAATCCACAAAAGCTAGAATGTTAAAAATCCGTCAGGTGTTTCGATGCGTCAAGTTCATCAATTTATCGGGTACTAAATATCATTCCAATTATGATACTATAATCTACTGCTTCGCGAATTTTAGGAAACAGTTAGAAATATGTTACCAATCAAAAAGAGATGTTCTATATGTTTATATATATATTATTTTTAAGAGTTGATCACTAATTAATTTCAGTTAGAGAACCATTGAAAACCAGCACTGGAGTACTGGACAGCTATATCCTCTGTCCTAGCTTGGGAATCATCGGCAGTACGCATCCACCACAGGAGGTTCGAACCCAGGACCTTCCGGTTACACAGGTTTTTAACAAACCTTCTGAACTTATTAATGTGTGACAACTGTTCGATCTTAGAAAATAAGACCAAGTTTTACAAAGTGTCAGAAACGAATGTCTGATGCGTATTGATAAGTACTGAACCTTGCATCTAGGGCTTCCCAGAATAAAATTTTTAGGGTTTTTTCATACTGCAATAAATTTACTCCATATACAAATGAAATCCGAAAAAAAAATAGCCGCCAAGTCCTTTGTATCTGCCAACTGTTTTTTTTTTATTTCTTCACGTTCCCAGTGGAAAATAGGGCTTCAAGCTAGAGCCAGAATAAAGTATCGGTAGCAGTGGTGTTTATTTCTACGGGATGGGGTTGCTAGTCTCATGCCTCTTTACCAGTTTCTCATTACTGGCCTAGCGTAATTAAGGAGTGCGTCGACCGGGGATTGATCCCCTGACCATGTGCCTGGTCGGCGAACATCCTAACCACTGTGCCACCGACGCCAACTAATTCAGGTATATTTATTCGACGCATGTTAATACGCTTCACTGCTCGTTACCATTCACTGTGATATTTTATTTTTTGAATTTATGCGGAGCATGAAAAGTGATAGGCTGTGAAGTGTTTCTCAAGATATGCTAGTGAAATAATATGAATTGTTGTCACTTTTGACTGATTAAAACGAAAAGAAAACCCAATTATTTTAAGCAGTATGTGCCTAATGGAAAGGGAAATTCCTACATTGAAGAAGACATTCATCACAGTGACAGTTGTATTTACAACTTGGATCTTACAATCCTGAAAGTTAAATCCATGCTATATGGCATTATTTATCATTCATATCGTTCTGAGGTCTCAATAACAAAGACAAATCTAGGCGTGTACTAATCAACATCTAAGAAAACTAAAATATATTAAGACCCCGGTGGGTATGTAGTGCTGAATAGTCTCAAACTAGGATGAAACAGCTGTCCAGTACTCCCTGCAGGTTTTCCAGTGGTTCTCTAACTGATGTCAGCTCATGATGAAATCCTCCATGCAATCAAACAAAAATCCTTACAAAACCAATACTTGAAAATTTCGAACTGAATTAGTCTAATTGGTGGATGGTGGCTAGCAGTGGAATCCAGGATGCGCATTTCGTCCTAATTGGAACTTGTCAGCTGGATGTACCTGCATTTCTCAGTGAGTGATGATGTTTCCACCGAGGCTCGAACCCAGTGCCCGTTTGAAACTATGGGCACTGGGTTCGAGCCTCGGTGGAAACATCATCACTCACTGAGAAATGCAGGTACATCCAGCTGACAAGTTCCAATTAGGACGAAATGCGCATCCTGGATTCCACTGCTAGCCACCATCCACCAATTGCATACAAATCAAATCCCGAGACATCGTCGAAGCATCTGCACAAGAAGCCGACATGTCAACCTGAGACCGAGCACTTCGGTCCAATCAATCGACGGGAAAATCAAAAATTCAATTCAATAATGAATAAGTCTAAATCTACACTACTGGTAGACTCATTTCATATCGTGTGAATATTGAATGTTTTTTAATTCATAAAGCCTACATGAACTCAACTTTTTATAATTCATAATTAGAATGATTTCTATTATTCTCTGTAATCTTTCCATATTTAATTAGTTTATTAGATATATCACACAGTGAAGAAACAGTGTGCGTCGGTGGCACAGTGGTCAGGACTCTTGCCGACCATGCACATGGTCCGGGGTTCGAGCCCACGCCGACGCACACCTGATATCTATGGTCGGCCTGCGAATTTTGGGCTACCGATATCCACGCTGAAAATTCCATACCTGTACTAAAAATACGGTGTGGAATCAAGCTGTAATCAAAAATAAAAAAACAAAAAAATAAAAAATTATTTACTGGGTGACGTTTCGAGCAAAATTTACTGTTCATAATCATATCATTAATTATAATCACACGATTTCGAAACTTGAGTTTTATAGCTTTCTTTATTCTTTCCTATTCGCCGTCGTAGGGGTAGTAGAATTTTCCAGGTGTCCTGGTGGACAGGTGTTTAATCACTCCTAATACACGTGTTTGCAGTTGATTCGATAAACAATGCTTCTTTTATCATTCTCTCCCTCCACCTTGCTATTACATTAGATTCTAAAACTGTCATCATATCTCACCCTATCGTGTGATCGAGTGAAATTGCATGTAGTGATATAGCCGAACTACTCTCCAGATTTCCTATCTTATTCAGGTCAACTAATCTAGATTTGGCTAGGTTTTTATGCTCGGTTAGTCTGACTGTACCTGTTCTACTAGTTTGACCTATGTACTTGTTCTGACAATCATTGCACAGGGTATTAGATGAACTAAATTTTTTCGTTTAATTGACTCCACCGGATCCTTTAACCGACAAAGCTTGTTCCTAATTGAGTTTGTGGGTTTGAATGCCAGCCACTTCTATCCGTGCATTGTTAAGAATTCTGCGTATGGTTTCCGAGGTTCCTTATTTGTATGGAAGTACTTATGATGACTTACATTCCCTATTGTCAGTGTTGTCATTATTCTGTGCATGTTTGACATGCGTGTCGTCATTAATAAAAATAATGTTATTATCACTATCACTACCATTATTATTAATTTCATTTTACATTTTTTGACATACTTGCTGATTAATCTGTCAGGGTAATTATTAAGTTTCAAAGCTTCTCTTATATGCCTCACTTCCTGTCTTAGATTTTCCTTGGTAGTACTTAGTTTTTGTTCCCTATTACTTAGACATTTTCACCAATCTTATTTCCACTGACATAGGGTGGGATGATCGGAAAAGCAAATATCGGTTTGAATGTGTGGGTTTCCTGTAAACACACACTAGTGTGTTTAACTTCCCATCTTGTTTCCTTTTTTACGCTACAGTCCAACACTGGAAGCTCCTTGAGTTCCTGACTTTCCAATTCATATATGAATTGAATTGCTGTCACGTTTTATGCAGAATATATTGATTCTATAATCTTCTTTGTGAAATAATTTCTTCCAACTGGTTTGATACAAGTGTAGAATACACAAGAATTCAATTGTCTAAGGCAGAAATATTTCCAATTCAAAAATTACAGTTAACAATTCATTTCTATATTGAATTTTTCATATTTTTTTTTAACTTTATTGTTGTGGTTTTTTGTGTGCTAAATTTCAGTTATGGTTTAAATATTATCGTCCACGTGCAACAAGTTATCCAAATCATGGTGTTCGACTTGGCAATTGTCGTGAATGCAATTTAGTTGGATTTATACCAACAGTTAAACATGTCCAGTTGTTTGTAGATGAAGCACAACTAGGCATTACTTATGATAATTTCAATTTTGGTAAACAAGGCTTTAAAGGTGAATATTTTATGTTATATGGTCCTAAATATTTTGATGCATCTTATGCTAAAAAGTATTACTACAAAGTTGGTCAATATTAAATTGTATTAATTGTAAAAGAAAAGAAAAAAGAACTCAAAAGTTGAATATTATTAAATAAGTAATGAATTGACTAACTATAAGCATGGTACTGTGAATAAGTGATTGAAATTGTCAAAGTAATTCATATTGATAATAATACAAAATAAGATTGAACATTCTTTGAATTATTCATCAACTTATTATTTTTATTTCTTTCATAGTTGTCATTATCACAAACACTAGATTATGCCTTCTTGTTTCGTTTAGAATTTCAGATTGAGTGGAGTGATTCGTGATAGGAATGATTCAAAGTTTAAGTATTTTCAGTGAATTTCATCATCATCATACTAACTGTTCTTTTTAAAAGAAAGAAAGTGAGCCAAATAATTCACAAATTGGTAGAAGTTAGAATTCATGGGCTAGCCATTGAGAAGTCGGGTCCCAGTGGCTGAATGGTATACAAGCCAGCTTACCTTGTAACCGGAAGGTCTAGGGTTCGAACTGCCTCCTGTGGTGGGTGCGTACAGCCGATAGTTCCCAATCTAGGATGAAACAGCTGCCTGGTAGTATTCCCAGCCGGTTTTCAATGGTTCTCTAACTGATATCAATCCGTAGTACAATACCCAGATAGAGACAAAAAATGTCTTCAAACAATACTAAAGTGCTAAAATGATCGATAATTATTTCACTTATATGATGACAAATTATAGGTCTGAAACTTATCTAATTGGAAGATTCTAGTCGTTAGTTGATTGTAGCTAAGATTAAAATCCAGAATGCGTGTTTCAACCTATTGACAACTGATCAGTTGGATGCATATGCATTTAATGGGAGGGACGGTTTTCTCACTGAGACTTGATCCCATCACTCATCGTTTCCAATGCGGAGGCGTTATCCACTAAGCTACTCAGCTATATTCTAGTCTAGCTGCGACTCATTTCTATAAATCTGTACATTTGCGTATTTCAGGGTTTCATTTTGGGAGAAATTTGTGAATTGTTGATCTAGTAAGGAACACAGTAACTGTTCATTGTTTTATTGTATTCATTTCAGTTTTATCCATCGAAAGACGGTAATACCAGAGCATGTAACAATTCCATGTTGGTTTGTTTATTAGACAGACGATATGGTAAAACAGTATTAATTACTGAATGACGTTTCTAAAATAGTTTCTTATTCATCACTGCAAGAGGAAAAATAGCCAATAAATACGAAAAAATTTGCTATTTTTATAATTGGTAGATTTAATAGATTTTTTCTTAGGTGGAATTGGGTTCAGACTGATTCCCACTTAGATAATTGGCTGCAAATCATCACCTAAGATGAAATCATGTACTTTTTATTGCTAGGTGTGTCACGCAGTGATCTCAAATAGAGCTCATCATACACAATGTTCAGTTTCCACCTTCCTATCTGAATATGTCAGCTGTTCCTGATAAAGTGTACTTTACTGGAAACAGAAACATTAGTCAAGAGTAATAGGGATTTTGAAAATAGTTTCATCCGAAATTTCGACTCACAAAAATGCCCTGTTACCTAGATAGTGTATCCTACTAATGAATATGATTAGTTAGAAACCACTGACTTCAACCTGTAGCTCTTATTATCCAGATCATCATCATGACAACAACTTATAGTCGCATCTCTCGTCTGAGAATGAGCTAACCAGTAGTGTACTTTGAACGGCTTAGCTAGAAGAAACAAATCAAATCAAACTGTGGTGAGGGCTGCCTGCTAGCCAAATTGGTAGACAGTAATTCACGTCAATGTTTACGTCCCTAAAATTGGTCTTGAGAAAAATAAGAGCAGAGACTGATTCAACAACCAACCACAACAGACTTTGCGTAGGAGGATATACTTACCACATAGATGATCTGGCATTCTAGAAACAGGCACAAAGAGATGAAAGATTAACTTTCTGTGAGAAACAATCAATCAGAAGACTGTATTTTTCTACTAACAATAATTTATAATAATGTACATGAAAATCTACAAAATATGTGTTGTTTTCCCTAATAAACGATCTGTTGCCTGGCCCTTGTCTTCTGTTGTTACAAAACCACACAAATTATGGTTATTTCCTTGGGCGAACTCACCAACTGTTTGACTAGAAGAGAGATCTTTTGATTGGTGGATGGTGACTAGCAGTGGAATCCAGGATGCGCATTTCGTCCTATTTGAGACTCGTCATCTGGATGTGCCTGCATTCCTCAGTGAGTGATGATATTCCCATCGAGGCTCGAACCCATTGCCTATAGTTTCAAACGTCAAAGTGTTATCCACTAGACCACTTGCGCCAGGAGAGCCACGTCTTGTGCAATGGATCATACTAATTTAATTAAATTGACGGGAAAATTTAAAATTCAATTGGAAGATTGATCGTTGCGAATTTCTGTCTTGAACTTTGAAATTCACCTATTTCTCAAATGCAGTATTCTTAAATTATTAGTTTAATAACAGGTTAGAGACGATCATTGAAAGGAAACTGTACTGCTTCTTGCAATCCATAAGTAGTCGATTAGATAAAATAATCTGTAAACTCAGCTAAAATGTATTGGTGGGATAAAAGCTTTAAAAAAAACCTTTCATCGACACTGTCTGCACCTACCAAGTAAGATGAACTGAAAGAATTTTTCTGCTCAAATGAATGAGAATTACAATTAAAGTTATTTAAATGGATTTATAAAATCCATGTAATTCAACTCAACTAAGGCTGAGTAATGATGCAATGTATTCATAGTAAGACAATCTAAATTTCTTCTCCAACAGATCACATCATTGCAAATAAGTTTTTGAAAGCAACCAGGCTGGAATTTTATTCCAGGCTGCATAGCTTTCAAAGATTAGACTTAATTATATACATTGAATCATGTGTACGTCGATAGCTCAGAGGTAAATTGCTCGCCAACCATACAATTCATGTGGTTCGGGGTTCAACCCTCGGCCGACGCACCCCTAAACCTCGCCAAGTCAGTACTAAAACTGCTAAATAGGGAAGGTTAGGTATGAGGTTAACAACCCCATCCCGTAAAAATAAACACCACTGTTATTGAAACTTCAAAGCTCTAGCTTGAAGCCCTATGTTCCACTGGGAACGTAATGGAATACAACATATATATATATATATATATATATATATATATATATATATATATATTGAACCATAAGCCATTGAGAATGTTTCGAATACTTTGATGTTAAACATCACCCTGATAACTGTATCAGTAATTTTAAGGATTACCTAAAACTGAGGTGTTTTAGATTCCATTACCTTTAAAAAGAAAATATGTGTACCCACCAATATAATATCACCTAATTAATTACTTCAATTAACACATAATTGTTGACATCATTTATATTGGAATCGACAAAAAATGAATGGCTAATTTAAAACCTCTTTAACATGCTTATCTGCTAGAATGAAATTAAAAGTCATATTATTAGACTGCAGCTGAATAACTAACTTGCTGTCATCGAATAAAAGTGAAGAATAAGAAAATATTCTTTTCTTTTCAAATTTTAGGAAGCGTAAAATGTCAGTATCAAATTGACTTAAAAATGTTACAATTTCAAAATTCTTTTGTGGGATATGATCGACACTTTTTTTTGAATAGAATTTTTAGAATACTTTATGCCTCATTAGAAAAGAGGATATAGTGAAATTATAATTTAAATAAGTACTATCATTTATTGCAAGATATGCGTGTGTATGTGTGTGTGTGAGCAAATTTCCCCTAATCCACCGAAATGAAGTATATATCATCATAGTAGAATGCTGTACAAAACTGCATCAAGTTACCATACTTTTGAAAAGTATACATGAAAGTATAGGAAAGAGGTTTGATAAATGTCGGCTAAGAATTTAAGCATTGTGGTAGAATATATAATATTCCGCTAAAAATGTAACAACAGAAGACAAGGATTAGGCAACAGATCGTCTGTTGAGAAAATCACGAAATACTTGTAGATTTTTGTGTACATCATTATCAGCTTTATTGTTAGCAGAGAAGCAACGTCTTCTGATTGCTTGCTGTTTTCCTGCTGAAGGTTATTCTGTACTGCTTGTGACCGTCTCTCAGAAAGTTAAGCCATATATCTGCGAATCGTAGTTGTACATGTTACGTCTGCTGTGACTGGTTGGTGATTTCCTCAAGGTTAAGCTTTGTTATTGTTTTTTCTCATGACCCTGATTCGGGACGTGAACGCTGACGTAAATTGTTGTCAACTGCGAGACAGCTGTTTAATCCTAGTTTGGGAACTATCGGCTGTACGCACCCACCACAGGAGGCAGTTCGAACCCTAGACCTTCCGGTTACAAGGCAAGCTGGCTTGTATACCATTCAGCCACTGGGACCCGACTTCTCAATGGCTAGCCATGAATTCTAACTTCAACCAATTCGTGATTTAGCGCGACCCCAACCAATGCCATCGGTGGGACATCCATCCTCATACGTAACATCTGGATCGACCTCACTGGTCATGACTTCCCTCTTGAACTTCAGGAAACTCCATCCTGTAGCAAGTCACTAGCGAGCATCATATTGATTTTCTTTAGTTTGGTTTGTGTGGGTTTGTAAGAACTATGTAACCGTAAGGTCCTGGATTCGATTCCTGGCGGTGACTGTGTACTGCCGATGATTCCCAAACTAGAATGAAACAGCTGTCTGGCAGCACTCAATGTGGCTAGTTTTCAATGGTTCTCTAACTGATACCAATCCGTGATCAACTCGTAAAAACATAACTAACCCTTACAAACTAAACTATAGCAAATTAAAATGATGTTCGCTTGTGACTTGTTACACGATGGAGTTTCTTGGAGTTCTAGTGAAAAGTCGTGACCAGTGAGGTCGATCCAGATGTCACGTGTGAGGATGGATGTCCCACCTACGACAATCGTTGGAGTTTACGATTTCGTCCTCCAGACAGCTTTCACCACAAAATTAGTGAAGTTACTAGTGAGACACTGTCAATATCTCAACAAGAGCATTATGCTGTGGTGAAACAAAAATGCTCTAGAAAG